TCCCACCAAGTTTCAGTAATGGCAACAAGGTCATAACTTTCTAGCAGCACAGTGGTTTCCAACTCCTGTTTGTTGCATTGGTGCAAAGGCACCTCATCTGGGCTGTAGACCATGTCACCTTCCTAGAGGAACACCCCTTAATTCCTTTGAGATATTTCCCTGGTGTTTCCCTCTTGGCTTCTGGTACCAGATGAGTCCCTAGTTTGTGTCCATAAGATTGCAAGTGTGTTCCAGTGTGGTCAGCACATTTCAGAGTTGTAGGAGGCATGTCCAGGGAAGCGGGGGAAGCACCCGGGGCGGAGAAGCCCAGGGTCATGTGCGGGAATCTATACCCTCATTGGTTATATGGTCACATGGTTTCAAGGGATAAAAAGAACGCCGAGTTTAAATAAAATTCTTTTTGGTCACAACCTCAGCTGGGAGTGGGCTCCATTTCTTTATTATATAAAGAATTCCTACACAGAGTCACAGACTCTGGCCCTCACAAACACCCTGTCCCTCTAACCTTTGCATGTCATCCTACATCTTGCCAGGGACAAACCTGATAGTGTCTCCCGCCCCCATCACGTCTAGTTTAAAGCTCTGTCAAGGAGCCCTGATAGTTCCCAAGCAAAGACTCTCCTCCCTTGCTGAGAAAATAAGTCCCCAAAACAATAATTCAACTTTATTAACTATAAGAGAGGCAGACAGAGAAAGAAGGAAAAATAGAGAAAAGTGGAAAAAACTAAGAATAATTATTAGAAGCACAGGAAAGAATATTGCCACCACCAGGATCTAAATGCTGGATCTTGTCCTTAGGGATGGGAAGATCTCCATCGGATCATTCTCCGGTCTTTTGTCTCTGTAGCATGAGTGGAGTTCCTGCAGGGTTCCTGCCTTGGATCTTCCGCATGGCTTGCCCAATCTCCAGGCATGTCTTCGATCTCTCCCCCCAGGCATGTCTTAGGCATTTGCTTACATAGGGTCTGAGGTGGCAATGCCTTACAGCAGATGGTAAAAATGTAGCAACAACACGTTTAACATGCACCGCATGAAGGTGCTGCTGTAACAGTCAAGACAATTCACTTCTCACAGTTTGAACAAAGACAAACATAGGGCAATGAAGAAGTATACTCTGCTTCTACCAGTTCTTTACACAGTCACAAAAGGTAAAGATTATGACTTGAGATAAGAGCAATTTACTGGAAACAGAAATGAAATTAGAGAACCAACAGTAACAGCAGCAGTATTAATAATAGTGTACAAGAGGCGAACGATTCACACATGTTCACCCCTGTGGAAACCCATCAGAATACCCAACCACTCCCTCTGCTACTCTACACAACCAGGAAGTGACCCCTTCCCCTGTTCCCAGTGGTATAGAATAACTTCTGTGTCTTATCCACGCCCCCTCCTGGTTGCTGCAAAAATTAACCCTGTCCTGACTGGAACCAGGATATTATCCACCCTTTATTCTTTATCATCGACATCATTCCCAGATCCTATGCCTTCCAACTATATTTTTATATATGTGTATATATATACATGAGCATGGGTATTATTTCAGTGGTCATCCCTAAAAGATGTCTGTTGAGTTCATTTAGTCCATGATTGCAGGTTCTATCTGTCCTAGATATCTTCCAGGGCAGGAGGGTTGGTGTGCTGTTGGTTGGTTGCAAGTTGCATCAGGAGCTCACAACTGCCATATCTGGAGCAGTCTATTTTCATTGACCATGGTAGTTATGGCATACAGTGGGAGTGTCATTCAGCAACCAATATCATACGATCCAACATTACAGACTGTTCTCACCCAAAAATCAAATCCCCTTGAGGTACACATTGTGTTTCCCTGTCCTTCTGCATTACCCACCAAGTGCATCCAGGCCCTTGAGCAAAAAAAAATCCCATGGATGGGTTTGCCTTTGCTTCAGGCAGGACTAATCCAAACTGTCTTTCCTAACATATTTCTCAAATGCACCACAGGGGCTTTACCTGCTTCTACAGTATGTGGAGATTTTTATTGGGCAGGGCTATCTGGATTGGTAGAACCTCTAGTGTTTACTAACCAGGTTGTCTCTGCTAAATGTAGATTCCAATGTCTGAAGGTCCCACCACCCATTGCTTTCAGTGTGGTTTTTAACAGTCCATTGTATGGTTCAACTTTCCCCAGAGGCTAGTGCATGATAGGGAATACGCTATACCCACTCAGTCCTGTGCTCTCTGACCCAGCTGTCTGTTGGTGTATTGAAATTGTGTGAACAATTTCCCTTGCATTTCCATGAGTATTGCCTTGGCATATTTGGGTGTGAACAATAAAACGAACTGCGTAGTCAAATATGGCTACAGGAGCTGAAGTTAGAACAAAAGAGGCCTTTTGCCAAGGTCGAGGAGGAGTTTTTGGCAGGTGAACAAGTTTTCTCATCTCCTATGGACACCAATTAGCACTATACAACAAAGTATGTTTTCCTTATGTATCCAATCTTGTGTGAACAAGAAACACACGTCTGAGTGTCATAAGCAGTATATAAGGTGTCTTTCTTCTAATAAAGCCAACATTTTGCCAATCATAATGATCTGTGAGCGTCTGTCCATACCCCTCCATCAATAGCTGTCTATGAGGTTATTTTTTAAATGAGTCCCATTGTCCAACTCAATTCTTTCTGGGGTGCCATGTCACCACAGGACTTGCTTTTCAAGGCCCAGGGTGGTGTTCTGGGCAGTGGTGTGAGGCACAGAGGCTTTACCTGCTTGATCTGCTTGATTGCAATGCGTGTTTTACAGTTATGGATAATCTGGGAGATAGCATCCATGGTTAAGTCCACTAAGTGCAGACTTGGCAACAAGGACATGCCTTCCTTAATATCCAAAGGAAATTCTGAATTCTCAAAAGATGTTTTAACAGGTCTGAAGGAGGAAACGGGGATAAAAATCTGGGGAAAATCATCCTTCCCTGTTCCCCCCACAGACTGGGTACCATTTCTAATGGACTCCCACAGGTAGTACCCAAGGTAAGGGTAGGAGAGCAACACTGAATACACATCCCAAATGACCATCATTGCCCTTGATGTTATCATATCATAAGCTGGTATTACACAGTACAGCAACAAAGCAATCCTGATCCCTCTCCCTGCTCTGAAAAAGAACACCGTGAGGAGCAACATATGGGAATATATACAGGTTTAGATACCACACCCACATGAACAGACCAAGAAGCATTGTGACAAGTAGTTCTGTACCTAATACAAAAAATGCTTAGATCAAATTTGTTTCCAACCCGCTCTGGGCAGATCTGTTGTTATCTCAAACCTTCATGCCTTACATTGGGCACCAAATAAGGCTGTCATAATTTAGGAATGGTATTCCCCAATTAAGTGTTCCCACCAAAACACTCCAAATAACACGTCGCTGTAGAAAAAAGTCCTCACTCTGCACCGTTTGCCGTGAATGAATCCACGGGAGACAGACTTTTGTCCAGGAAGAACTCTCTTGTAACTTTATTACTCCATACCTATATACAGACTCTTTACCGACTCTGGGTCCGAGTTCTCCAACCAGCCAGATGTTTCCTTATCTCCCCACATACCACATACACCCATGTGACTGCTTTCAGCCACAGAGAACAACCATGCTTCAAGCGGCTTTCCAGTTTGACCTTGAGATTCTTTTCACACACACACTTAGCTCTGACTAGCTCAGGACCACAACATCCTTGCTTCAGTATTTTCTTCTTCTTTTATCATACAGGTGGCTGGTGTTGTCCTACATGCCACTGGCTCAGTCCCCTGTCCCCCCTACCCTGGAGTGGAGAATAGGAGGCACAAAAGGTAAAGATCACTGTTTGAGATAAGAACAATTTACTGGAAACAGAAATGAAATAAGAAAACAAACAGTAACAGCAATATTAATAATAGAGTGTACAAGAGGTGAACAATTCACATGTGTGTGCTCACCCTCACGGAAACCCCTGACAATACCCAACCACTCCCTCTGCCATGCTGCGCAACCCAGAAGTGACCCCTTCCCCTGTCCCTGGAAAATGAAGCGATGTGGTATAGAATAACCTCTGGGTCCTAGCCATGTCCCCTCTTGGTTACTGCAAAAATTAACCTTGTCCTGGCTGGAACCAGGACACCTCCTTATGAGTTGGGCCCAGTCAGCATATTGGGCCCACTGTTCTCCTTAGAAGGTGATTGTCTACAACTATAACCTGTTTTTTCTTCCTCTTGGTAGCAGTTATAATATGGGGGTTGATCTTTCTTATTGAAGTGACACCTCTGGTGTAAACGAACTTTCATCCTCTTCATCCTTTGGCTGATCCACATACAAAGCCTCATGCCTATTGTGCAGGACAACCCTGGATGTATGGACAGACTGGTGAATGAGAGGTTGGAGACCAGCCCTGCAGAAAGAGATCTGGGGCTCCTGGTTGATGGCAAGTTGAATGCTAGTCAACAGTGTGCCTGGGCAGCCAGGAGGGCCAACCATGTACTCGGGTGCATCAGGCACAGCATTGCCAAACGGTTGACGGAGGTGACTGCCCCACTCTGCTCTGCACTGGTGCGGCCTCACCTTGAGTACTGTGTGCAGTTCTGGGTGCCACAGTATCATCATGGCTAGGTTTCGTGAACGAAGATTTGGGAAGGGCTTTACCCACATTTGTTGCAAGCACGTTGGTGGCTAAAAAGGCCAATACGAGATAGGCATGTCTGGTTGCAAAAGGCACAGCAAAAAGACTCCTTAGATGGTATATTCTGCAAGGTACGATTCTTTCTGCATTGTCTTTTCTCCTCAAGGGTGATCCTGTGTGCTTTCTCAAAAACATCAGCAGCGTTATAGATGGTGTGTCTCCAGGTCTCCCGATTGGAGGTCAGAGTAGACCAGTTATGGTGGTCAATATGGCCAAGGTTGAGATGTTGTTTCAGGGAGTCCTTGTATCTTTTCTTCAGGGCTCCTCTCTTGTGGCAGTCGGTGACAAGTTCACCATAAAGCAGGATCTTAGGGAGGTGGTGGTCCTTCATCCTGGAGACGTGTCCTGCCCATCGCAGTTGTGTTCTCAGCAACATGGTCTCAATTCTTGTGACTGCTGCTTGTTCAAGAACAGATGTATTGGTCACATAATCTAACCAGTGGATGTTTAGGATTGAACGGAGATAGCGTTGATGGAAGCGTTCTAGGAGACGCAGGTGGTCGCAGTAGATGACCCATGATTCAGATCTGTATAAGAAAGTAGACAGCACTATGGCTCTGTAAACACTGATCTTTGTACTTTTCTTCAGGTGTTTGTTTCGCCAAACTCTTTTATGAAGCTTTCCGAAAGCACTATATACCTTTGCTAACCTGTTGTCTATCTCTCCGTCAATCTTACCATCTGAGGAGATGAGGTTGCCTAGGTAATTAAACTGCTGGACTGATTTGAGTTCTGATTGGCCAATGGTGATATGGGGATGATGGGGGACTTCCTGAGGTGCAGGTTGATAGAGAACTTCTGTCTTCTTTAAACTGACTTCCAGCCCAAAGAGCTCAGCAGCGTCTGCAAAGCAGGATGTTAAACGCTGCAGGGCTGCTTCTGTATGGGCAACAAGGGCAGCGTCATCAGCATAAAGCAGCTCCCAGACAAGATGGTTTAAGGTTTTGGTGTGGGCCTTCAGTCGTCTTAGGTTGAATAGGCTTCCATCAGTACGATATCGAATGTAGATACTGTCCTGATCATCGAGGTCTGCCGTGGTCCTTCGGAGCATCATGCTGAAAAAGAGTGTGAATAGGGTAGGAGCGAGAACGCAGCCTTGTTTCACGTCATTCTTTATTAGAAAGGGCTCAGAAAGTGTTTTGCCATATCTGATCCTCGTGGAGTGAGATGATCATTTTAAGGAACTTGGGGAGACAACCTAAACGTTCCAAAATCTGTCACAGACCTTTTCTGCTCACAGTATCAAAAGCCTTGGTGAGGTCGACGAAGGTTACATAGAGACCTTTGTTCTGTTCCCTACACTTCTCTTGCAGTTGTCTGAGAACAAATACCATGTCTGTGGTACTCCTGTTGGCTCTGAAACCACACTGACTTTCAGGTAGAATTTCTTCTACTATAGCGGGTATTAGTCTGTTCAAGAGTATTCTTGCCAGGATTTTGCCAGCAATGGAGAGCAGAGTAATACCATGGTAATTTAAACAGTCTGATTTAATTCCTTTCTTCTTATACAAAGTGATGATGACTGCATCTCGAAGGTCTGATGGTAGTTCGCCTAGTTCCCAACAGCGCACCACAAGTGCAAGGCCCCCATGTTTCCAGACTTCGGGTGGAATTCCGTCAACCCCAGCTGCCTTGCCAATTTTCACCTGCTGTATGGTCTTAAGGGTTTTTCCCAAAGTGGGGACAGTATCCAATTCATACTTTACCGGTTGTTGTGTGATGGAGTGAATGGCTGTGTCTTGGACTACACGGTTGGTACTGAAAAGAGTCTGAAAGTGTTCAGACCATCGATTCAGAATGGAGGTTTTATCTGTTAGAAGCGTTTGACTATCAGCGCTGAGTAGAGGGCTTTGTACCTGGTATGTAGACCTGTATGCTGTTTTCAGGGCTTCATAGAATCCTTTGTGATCACCTGCATCTGCGCATAGTTGAGTTTTTACAGCTAGACTGATCCACCACTTGTTCTGGATGTCACGGAATTTCTGTTGGAGCTTGCTGCATGCAAGACGAAAGGCTGTTTTTCTTGCGTGACAGGATGGCAGTGCAAGGTGTGCTTGGTGGGCAGTTCTTTTCTTCCTCAACAAGTCCTGGATTTCTTGATTGTTTTCATCAAACTAGTCCTTGTTCTTCTTGAGGGAGAACCCTAAGGATTCTTCGGAGGATTGAAGGATGTTGTTTTTAATATGGTGCCAAATTGATTCAGGGGAGGAATCTGCAGAATCTGTGGAATGGTTTTCGAGCCTATTTTGAAGGTTAGCCTGGAATCTCTCTCTTACTGTGTGCCACAGTATAAGAAGAATATAAATCTATTAGAGTGTAACGGCGGGGTCCCTGTATGACAAGGAATAATGATGCTCCTCGTGGTGGTGTGGACAAAGAGGCTTTATTTCAAACTCGGTGCGGTTTTATTCCTTAACACCATGTGACTTCTTTAACCAACCAGGTTACTTATGTCGGGGCATGCTCTCTTGGGCTCTGTTACCTCGGCACATCCTTTGTGACCTTAGACACGCTTCCCACATCACCCCTTTCCTAAATATCTAAAAGAGGTCACGATAACAGTGTAAACAAAATGCAAACAACAATTCAAACGATCAAAACATTATAAGTTACCAAGTTTCGCAGTGATCCAGCACATTGCTTGCTTGACTACTTATACTTCTATTGTAAACATTTTTAAAACCTTCTTATATTCCTATAGGGTAGTGCAACTTGGAGAGATAACTTTATTAACTGGGACTTATCTTAACTGTGTGTAAACTACAACTTTTTTAATCTGAGGGGTTTTATAACTGGGAGATTTAACTTTATTTAAGAAACAGGGTAATCTTAGCAAACTTCAATTTCTTAAAAGTGACCTGTGGCTGAGGTAATGTTATTTTGTGAGATGTTTTGTTTTCCATTATTTGACTAGTCAAACAACTATTTTTATTCATTCACTCATCTCATTCATCAGTGGCCACCGTACACTGAACACACACACGAACACACACACGCACATTTCAGAGACTGCTTTCACCACGATGGTCATTTTCTAATGTAAACTTGAAACATAACATATCTCTTTTCAAACTTCTGCGTTGCTCTGGTTCCTGCTGCTGTGGTCACATATTTGAATAGGGTTTTTCACACTTGGGAGAATTCTGAGTCACAAAATCTAGGGATCTCGTCCAATGTCCTGAAATCAATTCTTACCATGATTAGTAGTTTGGGAGAAACAAACGCTTGAGGTGTGTGTTGCTTTTCAGACCTGCTTCTTTCAGCACTGTCACAACTCAAAAACTGATAACATACATAGCTTTTTACAGATGTTCTTACAGGTTACACTGGTTCTCCCCCCTTTTGTTTAAATTTAGCATGTGTTTCAAAATGTGATGTGCTTTTGCTGTTTTATGGTTTAATGTGGAATGCTCGTGATATGAGAATTTTCCTATTTGATAGGAAGTAGCTGGTTATTATTAATGTTAATCCATTTTTTGTATCAAGGTTGCTAAGCAACTAACTCATGTGTTTTGCACCCTTGTGTTTTGTCTAGTGGATGTAGTAGCAGTTATGCTTTGTGGATGTGTATCTATTTGCATGTACATTTTCAACATGTCTAATTCAGATATGTACATATCTGTTTGCTAGATCTCACTTGCCATTAACCAACTAGGGTTAATGCTTTCTGAGAGGCGTAAGGACAGCATAAGCGTGATTTCCTGACAGTGTGAGCATACCTTGATGATGTAGTTTTTATTAATTGTTATTTTGAATGGTCTCTTTAGAGAACCTGTATTCTGATGTAATGAATGAGACAATTGCTTGCCTTAAAACTCTGGGTATAGTGTTAAACATTGCTGCTTTAGCAGCTTCTTAGTTACTGTCAGTTATTGTCTGTGGTATGTCAGGATGTGATTTGTGTACATATATATAGAAATCATACTTTCTGCAACTCACAGGAACTAAACAGAACGCATTTTAAACAACAGGTAAGGGTTAACAATATCTCAAGGAAATTAACTTTCAAGACAGGATATTAAGCTTATAGCATAATAAGCACAATCATAACACTCGAGGATTGTTTAAAAACTTTTCAAGGTAATATGAATGACAATCAGTTCCAGAACTATACAGAAGCTTGGTTCATGGCCGTAGTTTTCCTACTGATCAGTGGCAGGATTTATTCAAGTCATTGCAGCATTTTGTGGTTTTCTAGATGCATGTGTGAAGGCCCTGAGGCCTTTTGCTGGTTCAGTTTTGCATCTGGTGTGGTTTTTAAAGGCAAATTGCTGATTTCTGTCACAATCTGTGCTTAAGGAGATGAATTAAAATATTACCACTAAAACTTGCCAGGGCATCTTAAAATCCGGCGTCCTCAGCTGTCATCCTATCCAAATTGTCTTTCAAAGCTGGAATGTTGGTAAAGGTAGGATTTCTTCCGTCCAGTTCTCTCAGTCGTGCTCTGCCCTAATGACAAGTTTGCAAACATATTAGCAGTTTACACAGATTTTAGGTGGTGTGGTGTGACAGAAAAAGTTGTTCTAGAACCAACAGTGGGCTTCTCTCAGTTTGATCCCACTGAAACAAACTGCAATGCTTCATACCTGCTGGAAACAAGGACTAGGCAGGATTGCCTTTCAGCATCTCTGTTGTTCTGTTTGCTTTTTATCACCTTGGTATAATTCTCTAACATTTGGTTTGCCTCTGCAGCTAACGATTTGTCAGACTTTAAACTGAAGTTCTCCCTTAGCAACATAAAGAGAGGGTATAGGTCCCCTATGGTTATGGTTAAAACAGGTTTTAAGCAATTGGTAGCTCTCTGAGGCTTCTGCAACTCCTGTAAATATAAATGTTTTTTACCTCGAGTAGTGTCAGCTGTGTAGAACTTTTTTGCTGTGTTCTCTCGTCCCAGGCAAGTCCAGAGTTGTGGTTGTTGAATTCTTCCTGAAACAACCTGAAGATCTGCATCTTGGGTGGTTTTGGTTAAAGCAGCAGGAAAAAATAGCAGTTCATTTCTTGTGGCCGTGGTTATTAATGTGTCATCTGCATAATGATGTATTATGGCTGTCTGATACTTTATCGAGGTATTTTGCATTCCCTGAGGAAGGGCAACCCAACCGTGACTTTGCATAGATTGTGCACTGTTTAAAACCATGATGGGAAAGAAAGGTTTCTGGGCACCTTCCGGGTGAAGGAGAATGGTTAAGGAATGGTTTTTTGAATCAGTTACCACTCGTGGCCAATTTGCTAGAAGCCTTATAGGTAGGGGCAGTCCGATCTGCAAGGCTTCTGCATGTTTTTTGACTGCGTGTTCTGCTCTTAACATTTGCAATGTTTTCCACCTGTCACCTTTCTTTGGGGTACAGGGTACACGGGTATTTTGGGGACTGGTTATTGGCATATTGTGGCTTGCTTTAATTTGTTTCCTTTCTTGCACATGAAAAGTAGTACCACAAAGGATTACAGCAAGCAGGGCTCCTACAAGCAGTATAATGCTTGTAGCACATCTTTTGCCTTGCTTATGGCACCTTTGGTATAACTCAGTCATTTCTCTGTTGCTAGGGTGTTTATGGAACGTTGCTACTAGGGGCTTCCAAGGACAATCTTCCTGAGAGTGACCTATTTCTTCACAACTAATACAACTAGCTATGTGTCTGACTTCTTTCTGTACTCTTATCTGGGCATTTAAAGCTGCAACTAAAGAGGCAGGTAGCTGCTTCTCAGAGTTACCTTTTTGGTAGGATTGTACCAGTTCAATAAAGTCACAGTTCTCCCCTGCAGGAGGGCTCTGCAAAACTCTTTCACAGTTTGCATTTTCTCTTTCAAAAGCCAAATGCTTGTACAGCATCTCTCTGGCTTCATTGTATTCAATTTGCTTGTTCAAAGCAGACTGCAGCTGGTCTACACATCTTAAATTTAACTCAGTATAACTTTGTAACTCTTTAATGGGGGACAGATGATCATCTTGATCTGCAGTGAGAATGCTTTCCATAGCCTTTAGGGCTTGCCTGGCTATCTCTCTATGGTACTTTGATTGTAAATCTGAATTATAATTTGCTTTCTTGCTTAATTGGTGTGCCGTGATGCCTGCCTGTGGGTATTTAATATGAATAGAGC